AGGCACCCCTGGTGTATACTAAGGTTTAAATCTGATTTTGCAGGTTAACATGGAAACCTCAGCATTACTTTTGACAGTCCTTCCTGAGAAAATTCCAAGTCTCAGAGGAGCCGAATGTATTTTTGGAACTTCAGGGGCTTACAAATCAGGATTATTAATATGTGCTGTGTACATTTGTTTCTGTGTATGTACATGGCACTGCTGGGGTCGTGCACTGCACAACCTCTGCAGGTGTATGTATGGCCTTGACTGTGGGACGTCGTCATTGGCGTGGGGCTGGCCACTTGAGAAGTGTTTGGGGGACCCTGGAGGTACACACAGTCATGCGAAGGTTCACAGCAACATTTCAGAAAGAAACTAGTTAAGAAACATAATGCTGTAATTGATTCATTGAATTGTATGCCAGCCCTTATACCTGCCCATTCACAAGGACCTCGGGGTCCTACCTGGGCTCACAGCTCTTCAAGGGTTTAGGTCTTCTCTAAAAAAACTACACTTACTGCCCACACCGACTGTATCAAATACCCGAATGCAAAAATGAAACAAGTCTAATTCATATTCATATTCAATATAAATTGTGAATTCATAGCACTAGTTACAAGGAAAAATAGTTACCATCTGTTGTAAGTGAATTTATGTTTTAAGTAGGGGCATGTATGTAAATAAGACTTGGGGGTCTGCCTCTCCCCTTTTTTTAATAATCGGGGGGCCCAGAGAAGTCACTATGGCCTGTGTTTTTCCCCTGGGATAGAATGCTAGGCAGCGTGGCTCTCAGCCTTCCCAGAAGGCTTGTGAAGAGCCGGCCCTGCCCAGAGCCCCCCCCCCAGCAGCGTACGGCAGACCCCACACCCGGGTCACTAGTACCTGCCCTGACCAGCTTGTGAGCCTCCCTGGGCAGCCAGCCGTCTTCCCCCACCACGGCTGGAAGGAATCCCTTCTACTGTGCCCCCATCAGAGAGCCCTTGCTTCTAAAGAGGGTCTATGAGCAGCACTGAAGAGCAGGGGTCCGACTACATCCTGGGAAATGCCTAGCTGGATTCTCACTCCCACCAGATGGCAAGGACAGTGTGGGATACTCACATCTAAAATACAGGCTTTTTTTGGCATACAGCAAACTGATTTTGTGGGGGGAGGCGTGCCTGGAGTGCCTCAAAGATTGAGCCCCGCACTGGGCTCCCTGCTCAGCGGGGAGTCTGTTTCTCTCTCTCTGCCACTCCCCCTGCTTGTGTGCTCTCTCTCTCTGTCAAATAAATAAAATATTAAAAAAAAAAAAAAAGCAGTGGATTAGCCAATAAAGGGATAATTCTCACTTAGGTCACCTTTAAGAAAAAAACAAAAACACTAGGGACAGGGGCACCTGGGTGGCTCAGTTGGTTAAGCCACTGCCTTCGGCTCAGGTCATGATCCCGGGTCTTGGGATCAAGCCCCACATCAGGCTCCCTGCTCAGCGGGGAGCCTGCTTCTCTCTCTCTCTCCCTCTGTCTCTGGCCCCCACTGTACTCGCTCTCTCTCTCAAATAAATAAATAAAATCTTAAAAAACAAACACAAAACCACTAAGGACAGAAATAAGTGATTGTAAACGAAATAAGAGTCATAAAGGCGGTTGCCCCAAGCACCAGCTAGGGACTGAGCTGTTCCCACACTGGCGATTGGTGGGTGACCTGGCAGTGGTCATTTCTCCAGTGCATCAGCCCGTGTCCTACAGATACAGAGTCTTCTCCCTCTGCAACCCCCTGCCTCCAACTCCTGCTCGTTGGACGCGGGCCTCCCTTCCCTACCCCCATGCCCAGGGCTCCTCACCCCATGGGCCTCAGCACCACCCCGACCGAGGATCTGGCGGCAATCTGCGCAGCCGGGCACCGTGGGGCCCCCAGGGGGCGCTATGCACAGCTCAGGACCCCCAGAGTTGGGTTTACTTGGTTTACTTGGGTTTACTTAGAAAATCCGTGGCGCTTGAAAGCAAAATGTCTTGCAAGTCGGATGTCTAATTCACCCAAATATAGGCCAGAGGTGGCCTTGTTCCAACGAATCCATCATCTCTGGGGGCCCTATTCTTGGTAGAGGGCCCCCTTGCCACCACACTGACCCGCATGCTCCTGAACTCTGCCTCCAGCCGGCTCTAGGACATAGTCCGCAAGGGGCTTTGTGCAGTACATGCAAGAATTAAATCCCTCTCCTCCGGGATAATGAGCCCTGAATGTGAGCCCTGAGTGAGAGCATCTCAGCGTCACGTGGCTTCTTGCAGGGACTTTGTATACACTTAAATAATGGGAATGGGTCTGTTTTCTCCTGTACAGCGAACAGTTCATTGTAGAGATCAAGGGGCATCAAACACTCTTGGGAAAGGGGCACACAGTAAATATTTTAGGCTCCGTAGGCCTCCTCAGTTCTGCTGAGCAGTGCAAAATCAAACAGCGATGGTACAGCCGTGAGTGAGCATCACTGGGCTCCATTGAAATTTAAATTCCATGTGCTTTTCATGTGTGATGAAATACTATTCTTTTGATCCCCTCCCCCGCCCACCATTTAAAGGTGTAGAAACTATTTTTAGCTTCAAAGATAGGGGGAGCAGGCTGGATTTGCTGAATGGCTTGCAGTTTGCCCTGTTGTAAATGATTTATAAGGTTGCTTCTGACTCATTTTATGGTTAGGTACTTAGCTTGACTAGAAACTGAAGTCCCAAGTTAGTGTAAGTATGAATTCCATTGACTAGCCCTTCATTTTACAAAGTAGATCTAGGTGCTTTGGGGGGCAGATATTTAGAAAAGGAGAATCTTCCTCAGCTAATTCCTGTCCTTCTCCCCCTGGATCATAGGCCAGCCCCACACCTCCTTGGGGTGTTTACCGAGTTAGGGTGGTGAAGCGGGTTTGGTGTTATTGGTGCCCTCTCCCCTCTAACGCAATAATGTTGGCCAGCCTGGCCCCAGGCAGGCCCCTGGGAGCAGTGCTGGCTCCGGGCTTGGCCTCTGAGTCTGTCACGGACTTCAGCCACTGCCTTCAACTAAGAAGGGCCTTTCTGGGCCTGGACCACAGTGAACTCCTGCTGCAAGCCACTGGACCGATTCTGCCCTGAAGCCAGTTCAGCCTTATCAGAATCTGGTCCCCGGACAGCTGGAACTAACTCCCTTCTACACAGGGGGACACGTAGGTGGCTTACTTTCTAGCAGAACTGATCTGCCCCCCTCTCTTTTGGGCTCAAACTCTTAGCCTGCTTTCTGCTGCACACATGCATGTCCTCCTACCCTACCTTCACCCCACGGCCCCAAAGAGGAAGCTCTTCTCTCTTAAATCCCCTAAAGGATCCGAGGTATGGGTTCATAGTCTCCACCTACTAGCTCTTCCTCCAAACCGGTCCCGACGACAGTGTGCACCGAATAGATAAAGTGGATCTCTCCCAGGAGGACTTGCATGGAGTGGGGGCTGTGGGTGGGGTCCTTTTATCTCTTATCACTCTGGACAGCCAAGCACGCAGTGCTTGCTTAGAAGGTCAACCCCGGGCGCCTGGGTGGCTCAGTTGGTTGAGCGACTGCCTTCGGCTCAGGTCATGATCCTGGAGTCCCGGGATCAAGCCCCGCATCGGGCTCCCTGCTCAGTGGGGGGTCTGCTTCTCCCTCTGACCCTCTTCCCTCTCATGCTCTCTGTCTCTCATTCTCTCTCTCTCTCAAATAAATAAATAAAATCTTAAAAAAAAAAAAAAGAAGGTCAGCCCCAGGGCCAATTCCTCCCCAGTAGCACAGGCCCCAAATAAGACACAGGTGGTCCCATCAAAGAGTGCTAGAAGCTTCTTATTCCTACAGTCACTGCCTTCTCTTCCCAGTTTGGCTGCCAGAGGGGCTTCTTTGTAAAGCAGACCCTGAGTGATACTGCAAGTATATCACTTGGGTGTGTGTGTGTGTGTGTGTGTGTGTGTGTGTTGGGGGAGGGGACACATGGCTACCGTCCATTTCCTAAATGCTAAGAGTCATAGAAATGGATTTTTAATCCAAAGGCTTTGAACCAAAGAACCTGTCAATACTTACACGATCATACCCGGTGGGTATCATCACCGTTGACGGTTAGCCAATTCTCTTTACTGCCTACAAGCCCCTGTCTTGGTCAATACATGAGTCATCACTGGTGACGTGCTCATGCAGCTTCTGAAAGTGCCCTTTAGACTTTCCTAAGGAATCGAGGGACGCACGGAGACAGTTCTCACTGAGTGACCATGAGGCCTTGGGAGCTCTACCAGGGGTTTCTTAAGAAAACAGAAATGTTGGGGCGCCTGGGTGGCTCAGTCGTTAAGCGTCTGCCTTAGGCTCAGGTCATGATCCCAGAGTCCTGGGATTGAGCCCCGCATCGGGCTCCCTGCTCAGCAGGAAGCCTGCTTCTCCCTCTGACCCTCCCCACTCTCATGTGCTCTCTCTCATTCTCTCTCTCTCAAATAAATAAATAAAATCTTAAAAAAAAATAATAAAAAAAAAGAAAACAGAAATGTTGGGGTGCCTGGGTGGCTCAGTCGTTAAGCGTCTGGCTTCGGCTCAGGTCATGATCCCAGAGTCCTGGGATCGAGCCCCGCATGGGGCTCCCTGCTCGGCGGGAAGCCTGCTTCTCCCTCTCCCACTCCCCCTGCTTGTGTTTCCTCCCTCTCTCACTGTGTCTCTCTCTGTCAAATAAATAAATAAAATCTTAAAAAAAAAAAAAAGAAAACAGAAATGTAGGGGCATCTGGGTGGCTCAGTCTGTTAAGCATCTGCCTTTGGCTCAGGTCATGATCCTGAGGTCCTGGGATCGAGCCCCGTATCAGGCTCCCTGCTCAGCGGAGAGCCTGCTTCTCCCTCTCCCACTCCCCCTGCTTGTGTTCCCTCTTTCGCTGTCTCTTTCTCTGTCAAATAAATAAATAAAATCTTAAAAAAAAACAACCCAGAAATTTAGAAAGACGAATTTTAAACAGGTGAAACTTGGCAGAAGATAAAGAAGGCCAAAATAAGAAAGTGAAGTGGAAAGCAGAAACTTCACATTGATTTTTTTTTAAAGTTAATTACACAGTCTTTTATTACTAGCTTAAAAAAAAAGGCTTAAATCACTAGGAAACTATTTACAGGAAGAATCACATTTTAAGTCGGGTGACTGGATATGAAGAAGGGCCACTTAATGTCCCTTCTTGGGACAGGCTGGGACAGGTGACGTGATCTGCCCGCGGGGCTGCCTCAAGGAGGGGACCCCGGGTCCTGGCTGCCGACTAACAAAGCATCAGAGGCATGCCAGAGCTGCTTTGCTAACAAATCGTTACACGTCTTTTTAGTGTTTAAGAGAAATCTTAATCTTTCGGGGCGATCTCTGTAGAATCATTCTGGAAACGTGTATGATTAGAAAACTCTTAAAAAAAATGAGGCTTGTTGCCCCCATGAGACCCGTTACGTCTTCCCAGGCACTGACGGGCCTTTTGGGGACAGGAATACAGAATACTGGGCTCCAGAGAGTCCTGCCAGGGCCATCAGCAGCCTCCTCGGCTCAGAGCTCTTGTCCCACAGGCTGGCAGACCGGACCAGAGTCTTGGGTCAAAGTGCTTTGGGGAACGTCTTCTTGCTCCTTATCTGGAAACGAAATGATGGACACAGAGTCCCAGGCATCATCCGTTGGCGACGTGTCCTTGTCCAGGGCCTCTAAGATAGGCTGGCTCGGGTCCTTTAAATACTTGAAAAGGTCGAAAACCAAGAGCGTCATTAGTTTATTAGGGCAACCAGCAGCCCTTCTGCTTGACGTTTACTCGGCACGGTCCTGCCTTACTCAGGGGTGCCTGCCTCTGCCCACCCCCGAGACAACCTACCAAATGAGAACACCCCTCACATCAGCAGTGACCTTAACGGGAACCCAAGGGCCAGCCCAGGGCACACCACACCTCGGGGAAAAGCACGTTGTGACTTCCTGCCCTTGGTGCCGGCTTGGGGACCGTTCTTCTGACTTTCCAGCGAGGGAGGATGAGGGGCCTCCAGGTCACCCCTCATAGGGGAAAAGAGGGAAAGGTCGCCAGTGTTCTCCTCAGCCCCTCCACCCGCCAGTCGCTTCCACCTCACACAACACACACCCAGCAGAGAAGTAAGGAGAGACAGAGGGGGCCTCAGGGCGCCCCACCTGCCCCTTCCCTCCAGCCTCTGTTCCAGGCTGAGCCATCCCTTCACTGCTGAGGGACCGAGAAACTCCCGCCTCGCTCCCGGATGTGCTGAGAGACACCGGAACGCGCAGTGAGCTGAGCTGACTGATGATAAGAGGGACATAAGCCAATCATGTGCGCTTCTGAAACCTCAGAAATATAAGCAAAACCTGATTTATTATTCTCGTGTAACTTCAGTGCCCTTTGATGTCTCTTTTTCACACTTTCCCAGGAAAGTGAACCGAAAGACTGTTTTAGACCCACGCCCCCAAGGACCAGCTAGAAGTAAATACACTTCATAGGGACCCGCTGGTGGTTCTTCTGTGAGAGAGAGATCCACGCAAGTAAGATTCTGAGACCCGTTGAGGGCTGTAATTGTGTGAAGTATTAACCAGGGAAGGGGTTTTTTTTGTGTGTGTGTGTGGTAACTACCCTCTTAACAAATTTTTAAGTGCACAATGCAGTACTAACTATAGGTACGATGATGCACAGCAGATGTCCAGAACTTACTCATCCCGCGTAACTGGAACTTCATACCCACTGAACAGCATCCCCCTGGGTCCCTCTCCCCTGGCCCCCGGCAACCACATTCGACTCCTGCTTCTAGGAGGTGGACTATTCTAGATGCCTCATGTAAGTCGAATCATGCAGTATCTGTCTGGAGTTTTCTAGTGGGGAAATTCACATGTAATTTGCGTTATGTCTGGGTACTTTATTTTTTTTTTAAAGATTTTATTTATTTATTTGAGAGAGAATGAGATAGAGAGAGCATGAGAGGGGGGAGGGTCAGAGGGAGAAGCAGACTCCCTGCCGAGCAGGGAGCCCGATGCGGGACTCGATCCCGGGACTCCAGGATCATGACCTGAGCCAAAGGCAGTCGCTTAACCGACTGAGCCACCCAGGCGCCCCATGTCTGGGTACTTTAAATACCTCTCCAGTTCTATTTCTAGAAGCACTACTCTTTCTCTGTAGACTTGGACCTTATCTAACACCTGTTCCTTCTAGATGTAACAGAGTAAGATTCTGTTTCCAGTATCTTTACTCCGATTTTACTGCTAATAAACCTCCAGAAACAAATACCTTTAAATAATCTTCCATCAGCTCCTTGGAGGGCTCAGCCACTGCACAGAGCCGGGGAAGGGGGGTTGCTGTGCAGGAAATCAACTTCCCGCGAGACCTGGTCCACCCGTCTTCCTCAGGTCTTTCAAAATACCAGTGTCATCTGGTGAGCTCTCTGTGGGGAAGGCTCTGTACTCACAGCCCTGGGTGCGTTTACTCTAGAATCCTTCTAAGTGCACAGCTCATGCCTAGAGCCCTGGCTTCACCGCCTTCCCACCCTCTGCCAGGCGTCTTGGGGGCTCTCTCCACAAGGCGCAGGTCTCACGCGCTCCTAAGCTTGGCCACACCAGGCCACCCTTTTCACCAACCTCACGCCATTAAAAAAATTGTTTTAAGTTGCAGTAAAATACACATAACATAGAATTTTCATCTTAACTAGTTTGGTATAAAATATATTCACACGGTTATCCAACCCTCATTTTAACCAAATGGTATAAAATATATTCACACGGTTATCCAACCCTCACCACCATCTCCAGAACTGTTCTAATTGTGCAAAATGAGAACTGTCTCCATTAAACACTAACTCCCCATCTCCCCCTCCCCACCCAGACCCCGGCACCCACCACTCTACTTTCAGTCTCTGTGAATCTGACTCCTCTAAGTACCTCATGTAAGTGGCATCACACGGTATTTGTCGTTCTGTGACTGGCTTATTTCACCTAGCATGATATCCTCAAGGTTCACCCGTGTCGTTGTGTGAGTCAGAACCTCCTTCCTTTATACGGCTGAGTAACATTCCACTGTGTGGACAGACCACATTTTGTTTATCCATTCATCCACTGACAGAAGCTTAGGTTGCTTCCAGCTTTTGGCTGTTGTGAATAATGTTGCTATGAACAGGGGTGTACAAATAACTCTGTACCACTTTTTTAAGTAGGCTCCACACCCAGAAGGGAGCCCAACTCGGGGCTTGAACTCACCACCCTGAGATCAAGACCTGAGCCGAGATCAAGAGTCGGACACGCAACCGACTGAGCCACCCAGGCGCCCCTACCCTGAACCACCTCTAACTCCACTCTGTGTGTCCATGGCTTTGTCCAGTGCCGCACTCCTCGGCATTACCAGGGGGTCATGGAGGGCTGACATGTCACCCACTGGATATGTGCACACGTACCTCTTCGATTTGTGACGGGATGCTTGGCGGAGAGTGAAACCAGTATTTTATCAGGCCTTTGTATTTCAGGACCAGGAAGAAACAGGCCCCCGCCAGCGCCGACAGCAACAGAAAGATACCCACGGCAATGATAATGACTTGTTGAAGCTTAGTAGTGGCTAAAAAAGATGACACGAGAGTGAACAAGAGACCCATCCCACACATGATACAAACACGGCTCACTCTTCACCTGCCAACTGCTTAGATCGTGTCCATGTCCTTGGGAGATGGACACATACTGTCCCTCCTCCGCCCAGCCTCACATGCTCGAGTGTGTAACTAGTACAAGCAATCCTAAAATCAAGCTGTGTTAGCTGTCCGGCGGTGTTCCCGTTGTAGATCTCAGCATGAGCTGGTTAGACCTACTTGCGTGCTGGCTTCTCGTGCCTTCTTTCTGGGTCGCCCCCCTCCCACCGCCCTCCACCTCGTAAGCCAGCCCCGGTTTCACTACTTGGGGAGGATTCTTATCCCAGCTCAGAAAGGACGTAAGAAGGCACATGTTACCATCCATTGTTGTTTCGTAGCAAGATATGTTGCTTAAATGTCCGGGTCTAGAGATGTTGTTGTAGTATGTCCAAACCAGATGCGCCTTCACTTGTAAACAGTATTCTCTTAAGGGTTTCAAGTCATTCAGCACAATGGAGTTGCTCCTGAAGGGACCTTTAACCTACGTAAAAAACGCCAACAGGCACGTGTGAAAATGACCCAAAGAGACGTGGTTGAGCCACTTCTAGCTTTTCCGACGTTTCCATCACCAAAGAAGAAGGAGCTGCTGTTTTTTTTTTTTTTTAAAGATTTTATTTATTTATTTGAGAGAGAGAATGAGAGACAGAGAGCATGAGAGGGAGGAGGGTCAGAGGGAGAAGCAGACTCCCCGCTGAGTAGGGAGCCCAATGCGGGACTCGATCCCGGGACTCCAGGATCATGACCTGAGCCGAAGGCAGTCGCTTAACCAACTGAGCCACCCAGGCGCCCCAGGAGCTGCTGTTTTGAAAGAGTCACTGGCTTGCAGTGGACACATTTTATGTGTGAAAGCTGGTGAACCGTGTGGAGAAAGACGCTGATGGCTTTAGAGCTGTGTTTCTGGCTGTGAGGCCTCAGAGGGCCCACTGCAGCCACAGGACGTCTGCCACTGGAATTGAGCAAACCCCTATGTCTGGGATGGACTTTTCTCCTTCCGTGGGGCGCCTGGGTGGCCCAGTCAGTTAAGCGTCCGACTCCTGGTTTCAGCTCAGGTCATGATCTCAGGGTGGTGAGATCGAGCCCCGCGTCATGCTCAGTGGGGAGTCTGCTCATCCCTCTCCCTCCCCCCCTGCACGCTCCCTCTCTCTAAAATACATACATAAATAAAATCTTTAAAAAAAAAATAAAATTGCTTCAATGCCCAGTGCATTGACTTTGTATCACTATTTTGTACTTCACGGTTAATGTATTCTAGATACTTCAAGCTAGTCAACGAACAGAAAAAAAAAATCATCGTGGGAAATAATGTTCCTTTAGTTCCGAGTCTGCTTTTAGTTTTAACTGAATGTGCTGTGTGCCTCTTACACAGTTTTGGTCAACATGATCTTCGTGAGTTGTGTAATCGGGACACAGCTGGATTCCAGATTCTTGAGGATTCGGTCTCCTCCTCTTGGCCTGTCCCTGCCGCCGCCGCCCTCAGGCCTCGTCAACCCCCCCACCTGGATCCCTCTAGTCAACGGCTTCTCGCTCTCCTGGACAAAGTCGGCATTGTTCCTCCTTTCCCAAAGGAGGGAAAGATATTTTGTGGCAGTACAGGACTTCTCATAAGGGGCTTGCTTTCCTATTTTGAGATGTAGTAGGAAATGCTAGTCATTTGAGAAGGTGGTATAACATATGCTCAGCAACATGGAGATGAGGCTGCGATAGCGTTGACTGAAAACGGGCAGATTATTCAATAGTATGTAGAGAGCATCTTATTTTTATTTATTTATTTTTTAAGATTTTATTTATTTGACAGAGAGAGACACAGCGAGAGACGGAACACAAGCAGAGAGAGCGGGAGAGGGAGAAGCAGGCTTCCCGCGGAGCAGGGAGCCCGATGCGGGGCTCGATCCCAGGATCCCGGGATCATGACCTGAGCCGAAGGCAGACGCTTAAGGGGCAGGCGCCCCTGAGAGCATCTTATTTTTAAAAATGTAAAATAATCACATTACTTAGGAATAGTAGGATCATAGATGATTTTTTTTTCTTCTGTTTAATGGTGATGGACTGCCAGGGCAGAGGAGAAAAGTTTTTGCTTGGGATGCCACATAAAGCAATTTTAAAAAACATTTATTTATTTATTTGAGAGAGAGTAAGTGTGGTGGGGGAGGGGCAGAGGGAGAGGGAGAGAATCTCAAGCAGATTCCCTGCTGAGCGTGGAGCCCTACTAGGGCTCGAGCCCATGACCCAGAGATCACAACCCAGAGATCATGACCTCAGCCCAAACTAAGAGTCCAGCACCTAACCGACCCGCGCCATCCAGGCGCCCCACCACATGAAGCAATTTTAAGTACAAACTTCCTTTGGGTTTATTTCTGCCGCCAGTTGGCATTTCTAGAATTTAGAATCACAGACTGCAGAGACCGCTGTCCTTGGGGGGCCTGCTTGCAAGGCTAACCATAGCTGGCATCTGGGAACTTGGAATCCAGAAATGTCCCCACCATTCCCTAACAAATATTGGCGGCTTATGGTAAAAACAATGTTTTCTATGCTGACCACCTGCTCTCCTTCTAGGAGTCTGGAATTTTGAACTGTGCTAGGGAGAAGAGGCCTGTTATTTCCAGTAAAACCCCTGGGCACTGAGTCTCTGATAAGCTTCCCTGGTAGACAACACTTCACATGTTGTCACAGTTGGTTGTTGGAAGAATTAAGTGTGTCCTGTCTGTTTCGGGAGAAGGTTCTTGGAAGCTTGTATCTGGCTTCCTCTGGAGTTTGGCCCATGTGCCTCTTCCCCTTGCTGATTTTGCTTTGTGCCCTCCTTCTGTAATAAGCCATAGCCGTGAATACAACCATATGCCAAGTCCCGTGGGTCCTTCCAGCAAATCCAGGGGCTGGTCTTGGGGACACGGACTCTTAGCTGGAATGGAGATATTTTGGAGGCTCTCAGACTCATTTGAGCCCTAGCATCTTTTGTTCACAGAAGTCCAAAGTATAGCTGCTCTGGTGGAATGGGATAAAGGGGAATCCCTTCTGGAATCTTCCAGGCCTTCTCTATTCCAGTTGACCAGACCTTGACCTCTTCATTTGGGGAAATGGTTAGTTCCTTTCTCCCCATATGATAAGAGTCTATTCTTCAGTGAGTTTTGCCTTCCTCAATGTTTTAAGATTCACCATAAATAAATGAGTAGGAAATACACATATAAACTATGTGGGAGAAGATCTGCAGAGCATGGGAGAGCCTGGGTGGCTCAGTCAGTTGAGCGTTCCCAGGGTCCTGGGATGGAGCCCCGTGTGGGGCTCCCTGCTCAGCAGGGAGTCTGCTTCTCCCTCTCCTTCTGCTCCTCCCCCTGCTTGTGCTCTCTTTTTCTGACAAATAAATAAATAAAATCTTAAAAAAAAAAAAAGAAAAACTGCGGAACATGAACTCTGGGCTCAGATGTGCTAGCTGTCAGCTGATGACCTTGGGCAACTTATTCAACCAGTTGGTTCCCTTCTCTGTGACACGGCTAGGTACAAAGATTAAATGAGATGATGTATCTAAAATGCCTGGCCCCGGGGCCCAATGCAAAGAAAGCTCTCGATAAACATCAGCTCGTATTATTATAAAAAGACTATAATCACCTTAAACTTATACAGTAATGAATGTCAGTTATATCACAATAAAACCGGAAAACAAACAAAACAAAATGGTTATAATACTGTTGAGTTTAGGAAACCCTGAAGCTTACATCGATAATAAAACTTCATGATATGCAGCTTGGATAATCAGGCACTGCAGAGGACTGAAGGCCAGCATCTTCCCTCGTATTATGTAGGGCTGACCAGGGCCTGCCGGTCTCACGCACCTCAGCCCCTCCTGCATTCCCGACGGACCCTAGCACTTGCAGTCCCCCAGACATCCCGAACCTTCCCACACCCTCCGCCCTCTTCCCTAGAAGGGTCTCTCTCTTCCCAGTAGACTTTTCACCTGTTCACACATGCTCTCTTTGTAAATCACTCAAACCGGAGTAATTTATATAAACCTTGCAGACTGCAGGGATGGATTCCTTGTTGTAGAAACAGGCCCTCTAAACCTTCTCCAGCCTTTAGAGGGCCCCAGGGGCTCCGTGCGCACCCCAAACAACGGGAATGGCGTGCTGTCAGGCAGAGAGGGGAGTTCAGAGCCACCTGGCAGAAGGGAAGGCTCAGCATAGGGAGCAGAAGCTCGGGTCTTGAAGGGAAGGATTAAACCTGATTCGGGGCTCAGACTAAGGCAACACTGGGAGGCTCTGTCCTCCTTGTCCAGTTTCCAGTTTACTTACTTTTGCTGTATCAGAAAATCAACACAAAGTAGAAAAATGCTCTTGCCTTTTGGATTCCTGCCTTTTCCCAGTAATGGACATAGTACACAAAAGTGGCCAGGGAGGCAGGGATGTCGAAGGGAGAGGAGAATCTGATGATCAGGGAGCCTTCTCCCGGGGTCACCCAGACGTTCTCAGGAGGTCCAACGGTAACTGAAATAGAGTAACGAACACAAACACAAAATATACATGTAAATATATACACATACATACAACATATAATTTTATCTTTCAATTTAAATTCAGTTAATTAAAATATAGTGTATTATTCGTTTCAGAGGTAGAGGTTAGTGATTCATCAGTTGCGTGTAACACCCAGTGCTCATTTCGTCACGTGCCCTCCTTAATGCCCATCACCCAGTTACCCCATCCCCCCACCCCCCTCCCCTCCAGCAACCCTGTTTGTTTCCTAGAGTTGAGTCTCTTATGGTTTGTCTCCCTCTCTGATTTCATCTTGTTTTTTCCTCTCACACATAATTTTACATATATAGTGTATACACACACACACACTTACAAATACAATGAGGTCGCATTCAGGCACACAACACTCCCAGAGACTGCTCTGGGCACAAGCTTCACGTGGAAGGCCATGGGGGCAGGAAGACCAGCGGGACCACGGTGCGGCACCAGGGGCTTCTCATCTTCGGTGGCAGGCGTCCCCGTGGTGGCCCAGAGCCAGTCTGTCCGCCCGCCCCCGCACCCCCACCCCAGGACACAGCTTCCAGGCAGAGTGAGACCCACAACAGGCCCGTACAGGAGCCTCCCAGGCTTAAAAGCCCCAAGAGCCAGTATCTCTTCCGCCAACAGGAAGAGTTTCTAGAGCCCCCGTGAGGGACACGTAGTTATGACAACTGCTGCGCTCAGCAAAGACATGGCTCCCTAACAGGTATTTAAGATGACCCCAAGGGAGGTGCAGGTTATCAGTCAGGGCTCATTTTGCCCTAAGTGACGCTGCCTAGGAACATAGCTGACAGCCACCTTGACCAGGCTTCCAGAGAAACGGCCAGGTTAACCAAAGATCAGAGGTCCATGCAGAAGGGGACAGGATTTTGTTACCCTTACCTACCACGTATCTCTTCTGTAGATTTATTTTTAATATACATTCTTGTAATTTCTTTACAAATGAACAAAAGTGGTATTTATCAACCTTTAAATCCGTGTCTCCCAGCTTATTGTCAGACTATGTTTAAAAATAGTCCCAGAGAGATGTTGCCATCGGAAGTCTGCTTGTTGAAGCTTTTCATAGAGTTCACGGGACAACCAAGGACTGTGAGTCATGAAGTGCGTTAAGGAAGGGTTCCAGCGTGTATCAAACAAGCACTTCAGACTGAATATAGCTCGGATCCCACGAGTTCTGAGCGGCCCATTCATGCACCGTTTGCACGTGCAGGCGATCGGATCACTGTGAACAGTTGTGTTCGTGGCTGTTCATGCCTTCCGCGCTCTCGCCCGGGCTCCCCCCGGCTGGGCCAGGCTCTGGCATCTGGTTGAGCCACCCTACTCTGTGAGAAAGGAACTGGTCCCTGTAGGGTTTGCAGCATGCCTTCCGGTCTCATGGGTTGTGGTGGAGGAACTAGGTCTAGACAGAGACCGGGCCGGCCTGGCCCCCCACCAGCCGGAGCCACGTTAGCGGATTAGCTGCAGGTGGCCAGAAGCTTTTGTGATCCCTGCTCGCAGATGCTGACCAGCAGGGCCCGGCCGCCTGCCTCAGGCCTCTCGCCTCTGTAGGACATGTCCTCTAGACTTTTCTGTGAGTTACACATGGCAGTGGGCCTGGAAGCTAGGGTGTCAGCTGTGACCAGTCACTTTGTCCCTGGAAGGTCTGTGCGGAGAGACCTGCCCTTCTGAGAGTTCTGGATCCAGGATCTGATACCAAGTGACAGGTGCCAAGAGGTTATGACATGGGTTTCTTGGGTCTCATGTACAGTGTGAATAAATGCTTGCAGCTCTTAGCCCTTTTCGATCAATGAAGCACTTTTTGAGGGGGAATGAGCCTGTGTCTCGAGCAGGAAACAATCTGCCTTCTCTCAACACATTGAGGGGAATTTCAATTATCCGTAGATGGCTTGATAGCAGTTTCCATGGACTAAGCTCTTATTGTACACCAGGCAACAAGAAGGTCATCTTCGTTTCCCACAGGGAGAAACAGAAGCCTAGAGGTGATCGCAGTGGCCCAGAGTCCTAGCCAGTAAGGGGCAGAGCTGGGATTTGAACCTAGGTCGACGTGACGCGCTGGCCTGCCCCCTGCAGCCATCTCCTCCTCGCCCCGCACACGCTCAGTGAAGCGTCGTGTTGGTTACGCACCCCAACTGCACAAGTGTTGGACACAGGGATGGGGTCTGAGGACGCCTGACTTTACAAGTGAGCCGGGGACCACCTGGGAACGCTGCTGCCTGGCTCAGGCCGGGAGGACGGGGGGCCGCCGATGCCCGGCACCGGACCGACGACTTCCACAACAGGCCCTGCTTCCATTCCCATTCCTCTTCTCCCGGGCCAGGCCCGGGGACCACCATTACTTTCTCTTTCTTTCTTAGCTAGTTCCCACCTAGGTGGCATTTCATAGCTCAGATGTGTGCTGGTTCTCTGCGCAAGGACAGGTGACTTGTCCGCAGTAAATGCCCAGCTCGAGGGGACTGCGCTGTCTTCTCTTTCCATCCCTGCATCACCTGGCACACACTGTTGATTTTTCTTCCTAGCTTCCTGTTGCAGACAACCTCAAACACGTAGGAAGGAGAGGTCAGATCAAGACAACAACTCACGTCCTTGTCACCCAGCTTGTACCCACCGTCAGGTCATGGCCAATTTTGTTCCTCTCATCCCCCTTTCCCTCAGCCCTCCCACTCTCTGGATTATTTTGAACAAACCCCAAACATCACATCATCTCATGTAAAAACTCCAGTATGTGTCTCTAAAGGATAGGACCCCCGCTTTTAAAAACATAAAATACCATGATAATACCTAAGATAAACTAACAATAATCGCTTACTAGATCATCAAATAGCTACACAGTGACCAAACTTCCTCAGCTGTCTTCTACCTCTGTTTCTGTTTGAGTCAGGATCCCATACTTTGTTTGCCTAAACCATAAACACTGAAGAAACCTGGGACACAGCTGACCATGTGAGACATGAATCATGGAAGGAGCGAATGTACAAACTAGTATCTGTCGATTCTTACGCCCTCTTCCGATTTCCGGGAGCACATCTGCTCATTCAACCAAGCTTTCCGGCATATCCGCTCTGTGCCAGGCACTGTTCAAGGCTGAATGAAAGTCTTTCTTGAACATAAAGGAAGTTGTGTCAGAAGAGATGAGGGGGATCACTGAAGCCAATATGCTAGTGTCCCATCCAGCCCAGAGGCCAGCAAGCTTTTTTGGTAAATTAGGCTTCGCGGGCCAGACAATCCCTGCTGCAACTGTTCAACTCTATTGCTGTGGCCCAAAGCATCCATAGACCATACGTTATTAAAAGACGGTGAAATTGTGTTCTACTAAAACTTTATTTACAACAACAGGTTGGTGGGCTGGATGTGGCCCACGGGCTGTGGTTTGCCAGCCCCTGGTCTAGCAAATCACACTCCTCCAGCACCAGCCTCCATGCTCAGTCCTGGGGTTTGACCGTCATACCCACCTGTTTGCTGGCTATGCGGAGTCAGAGACAGGACTGGGGTGCATGGAATCCATACTTCTCAGTGAGGAGTAAAGTGAAGAAAGCCTAAATGATAAAGAAGTTTTACAGCCAAGTTCTCTTACCATTCCAATAGTACAGGAACCAAGGCACTGACAGCCATGGGGAAACCAGGTCCTCCAACTTAGCTCGGACACGTAAAGAGACGTTGAAATGTGGTGGGAAACCATTTGACAGGCTAGTTGGGGTGAAGTTACACTCCGTCGTGGTGACGTTCATACAGTCCACGCCTATGTCCCTGGTGTCGTACCACCTACTGTCAGAGGGGCTGCAAAGGAAAAAAGGCTTTCACTTCACGGACTTCTCTCTTCTGCCACAGCCAGCGGTTTCCCCAGAGCCGATTTTTTAATAAGCAGCTTTCCTGAGATACAACTTGCAGACCGAAGACTCCACCCCAGTTAAAGTGTACAGATTCGAAGGGCTGTGCCGCCATCACCATGATCAATTCTAGGGTGCTTTTATCAGTCCCCCAAAGAAACCCCGTACCTATTAGCACTTGCTCCCCACTGTGCCCTAACCCCCTAAGCCCTGGGCGACCATTAATTGTCTACTTTCAGTTTCTACGGATTTGCCTCTCCTGGACATTTCTTACAAACGGGCTCATAGACGGCATGGTCTTTTCTGATTGTCTCTTTCCACCTGGCGTGTTTTCAGGCGTGATGCGTCATACCGTAGCCCCCTTCTGAGGGCCGAACACGATCCCAGCATACACTTAGAGTACATACCGTTTCTCTGTTCACCTGTTTCTGGACATGGTGGCTGTTCCCACTTTTTTGCTGTTGTGTGTAACGCTAAGAAATATTCACGTGCAAATTTCTTTGTGGAAATAACTTCTCAATTCTCTGGGCTGAACGCCTAGGAGTGGAACTGATGGGTCTAACTCTTATTTTAAACTGTCTTCCAAAGTGGCTGCACCATTTTACACTCCCAGCTGCAATGTACGAGGGTTCCAATTTCTCCACATCCTCACCAACGCTTGTCATTATGCCTCTTTTTTTTTTTTTATGGCCATCCTAGTGGTGGTGCTGTGGTGGATCACTGTGGTCTTAAATTCGCATTTCTTTTTTTTTTTTTAAAGATTTTATTTATTTATTTGACAGAGAAAGACACAGCGAGAGAGGGAACACAAACGGGGAGTGGGAGAGGGAGAAGCAGACTCCCCGCCGAGCAGGGAGCCCAATGTGGGACTCGATCCCGGGACTCCAGGATCATGACCTGAGCCGAAGGCAGTCGCTTAACCAACTGAGCCACCCAGGTGCCCTTAAATTCGCATTTCTTTGATGAATATTGATGTTGGGCATCTTTTTATGTATTTATTGGCCATTTGTATATTTTCTTTGGAGAACTGTCTACTCAAACCCTTTCTCTGTATTTTAATTGGGTTGTCTTTTAATTGTTGAGTTGTAAGAGTTCTTTATATACTCTGGATGCAAGTCTCTTATCAGACATTTCCCATTCAGTCCTGCAACTGATTTTGATTCTTCAAACTCAGCCTCTGTAGCCAATGTCTTAGGAAAGATACCGTGTTCATACAAACCCCACTCATGCTTCTTGCTGGTGTGGAGTTTGTTTTATCCCACAGCTGCCCATTTAAAGTTTGCATCACCCGTATGAAAACCCTGCTAAGGGGTGCCTGGGTGGCTCAGTCGTTAAGCGTCTGCCTTCGGCTCAGGTCATGATCTCAGGGTCCTGGGATCGAGCCCCACATCGGGCTCCCTGCTCCGCAGGAAGCCTGCTTCTCCCTCTCCCACTCCCCCTGCTTGTGTTCCCTCTCTCTCTGTGTCTCTCTCTGTCAAATAAATAAATAAAATCTTTAAAAAAAAAAAAAGAAAACCCTGCTAAATACGAGGTCACATATTCTTGTAAATGACAATGCATTCCCCAGAGTCCCAATGCCACACCCCCACATGGAACTCTACTCTCCAGCTTTAATCTCTGTGCTTAGGTGACAGACTTGAGAAAAACCAGAGAGGTGGCTGCTAGGGACCTCAGTGGGGGGCAGTAGGCTGTGTGCTCTGTAGAGACAGGCTATGCGCCCCACAGCATCTCTGGCCTAGGAAGCAAGGTTGGGGAGACAGAAGAGACGAGGCTGGGGATCCCTGCCACCAGCTCTCACACACCACACTTCTAAGGGTGCCTTTGACCCTGACTGGAGACTCCTCTGTCAAAGTGGCCAGTGGCAAGATGAAGGCCACTTCAAGATGCGTGGCCGTGGCTTCCGTGGAAGATGCTGCCATACTCACATTACCACCAAGCCCCAGGGGCCAGACTCTACTGGGGAGGGGGATCCCCCTAAGCACATGTAGCCCCGTCTTAGATTAGGGGTGTGCTTTAGAAGGGGTAAGCGATCTTTAAAAAGTTATACAGATACTTAGAGATACTCTAACCTTCTCCCCTGCAGATCCCAGCTGTTGAACTTGGGCAAAAGGCTCCCCACATTTCAAAGGCTCATTTCCCGACTTACCAGGGAATGGACTACTCCTGTTCCCCATCCTCCCCTCTCCTCCACTCTTGGCCCTGTCTCAGAACTGCTTTTGAACAATGTTTCTCCACAAAGGGGCCTAAGGGGGGACAAACCCTCCCAATTTAAGTGACAGCTGGCCCATGACAGCAGTTTCAGGGGGAAGTGCGGAAAAGGAAGCTGCGTTCTGGAGGCCGCCTCCCCCTCTCTTCGCAAAGGGGGTAAATAAGGGGATGATGTTGGCCGCACTTCAGTGACCCCGGCCTCGAGCACGGCTCCGCCCACCGCCAGACTTGGCCTCCTGTCGTGGCCCGGGCGTGGCCGAGTCTCACCCCGACAGTCCAGCGGGCGCCCCCTCACCATGTATCCATCATGGACTGCCTCTGACCCTGAATTTCAGTTCGAAAGCAGCCCTCATCATGAGAGGGAGCACAGCATGGTGGTTGAACACATGGACTCTGGAGCCAGATGACCTGGGTTCAAATCCCCATCACCTGCCTCTCTGTTCCTTAGTCCCTTATCTATAAAATGGGGATAAATTATGGTATTTGCCTCCCCGAGGGATCATGAAGGTTGCACCAGCCGACATTAGGAAAGTGCCTGAGCCAGGACCTGGTGCCCAGGAAGCACCATGTAAATGGTGCCAGGTTCCACACCTGGGCGACTATGGACTTCACTGTTTGGCCTCTGTTAGATCACTTCCAAAAATGGCAAGTGTCCCCTCTGACCCAGCAATCCCTCTGCTACAAATGAAGAAAACAATCAGATGATTTATGTACGAGGACCCAAGCTGGTGACCGTCTACACCCGCAAGTGGGGAAGCGTTAAATACATCATGTGTGATGCATCATCTAATAAAATGAGCAGTAAAAATGTTTACACAGAGACCATTAGGAGGAAAAGTGCTCATACACTTAACTATGTTTGGTTGAAAAAAAAAAGGGGGGGGGGCGCCTGGCTGGCTCAGTTGGTTAAGCGACTGCTTTCGGCTCGGGTCATGATCCTGGAGTCCCGGGATCGAGTCCCGCATCGGGCTCCCTGCTCGGCAGGGGGTCTGCTTCTCCCTCTGCCCTCTTCCCTCTCGTGCTCTCTGTCTCTCATTCTCTCTCTCTCAAATAGATAAATTAAAAAATCTTGAAAAAAAAAAAAAAAAAGGAAGCAGCACCCAAAAGCGTAACCCCAGTTTTGTTTCATTTTTACGCATACCCTAGCACATTTTCAAACCAAGTGCATGCATTTAGAAAAAAGTCTATAGAGAAATACGCCAGAAGGAGAACAGGGATTATTCTTGGGCTGTAGAGCACTAGGTTGTTTAAATTTTATTCTTTCTACTTTTCTGGGTGTTCTAGCCTTTTTGTAAAGAACACGTGTTGCTGTTAAAATCAGAAAAATAAAATGAAATAAAAAAACGTTTTCAGAAGACTGGGCTGGTCAGGTCAAGTTTTCTCAAAGTGAAATCTCCAGATTTTTTAATGTTGGCACTAAGTGAAAAAAAAAAAAAAATTAAACACTGGGGGTCAAACACAGCCTGAAGGCCACACTCTCTGCAACCCCTGATTTAAACTTGACATTTTCCCACAGTGCTCAGTGTAATTTTGGCTTTGGTTGCTGTACTGTCAGAAAACAGGCACCTTCATTTCTAATTACAGTAACGCTTTACTGTAGAGAAACAGGATGGAAAAGTTCTAAGTCCCACAAGTCTCAAAATGAAATTATTTCATGTCGCTAAAATGTCCCAAACATGTAAAAGTCTCTAAAAACAAAACAAGAGCAAAGGCCCGCCTCTCATCAAATCTGCGATTGGAAAAGAAAACAAGACCAGCCCTGGTTTCAGTTTCTCATTACCCCTCAACTTTTCCAAAGAAGGACGTTCACATTCACCCCATCCTTTGTTTCTTTTACCAAAACCAACCTCTATCCTGAAAAAAACACCTGCAAAATGCTTTCCAAAAGGGAAACGAAGTAAACATGTCAGTCTGGGAAAGGAAACTGTCAAAGCCTTCAAGGAATATTTCTACTATCTCTTGAACTCTGTCGACCCAGAGATGTACTTCCCCCTTCAAGGCTAAGGGATGTGAGTCAGGATATCAGCTGTGACTTCCTGTCACCGAAATCTTGTTTAGTTCTACGACATCATGTTTACTGAATGCTGAGGAGGGCCAGCTTCTCGGGCTCGTGACCCATGGAGGGGCACAAAGCCCCCCTCTGAGGAGGCACTCAGTTTGATGCTCGGCTGTCGCCATCTTGAAGTTCTCAGTAATTCTGGACAGGGGGCCTTGCACCATTTTCATTTTGTGCTGGGCCCCACAAATTATATAGCTGGTCCTCGTGGACTGGTCTGCTTACAATAGATTATTGGCACTTATTTGAGAAACAGCTAAATGTAATTCAGAGATGACCCCTAAACCCTGGTTTAGAATCGATTTTTATTAAGCAAATGTTGTTACAATGGACATTCAAAGGTGAAAAAGAAGTCACCTGGAGACGCACTCCTCTTACAAATGAAGTGCCCGTAATTTTTCCAGGTTCCTTCCCTGTTCTTGACCACAGATATGGTCCAAATTTTACACAGTTGCGACCACTACCAGATTATCCTTTTTAATAGTTGCCTAATGTTCAACTACTAGTTAACATGACACAATTTGGCATTTTTCTGCAGATGGACATGAATTTATACTTCAATGTCTATCTTCACGAATACCAGTGGCTTTTTTTCCTTTCCTTTTTTTTTTTTTTTTAAGATTTTATTTATTTATTTGAGAGAGCGAGAGTTTTGGGAGAGGGAGAGAGAATCTGAAGCAGATTACGCACTGAGCACAGAGCCCGACTCAGGGTTCCATCCCTCAACTGGGAGATCATGACCTGAGCTGAAACCAAGAGTCAGACGCTTAACTGACCGAACCACCCGGGGACCCCATTTTTTTTTTCTTTTTCTGAAGGGGGCTTGTATTACCTGCGTAGGGGGAAAGTGACGTGGACATTTCTGTGTCTCTAGCTCTATGGTGGATGACTCTGCTGGAGGGCTGTGCGAACGCGTCCTCACCCAGCACGATCTCCATCAACCACACTCTCCCAAGCACTGAGCATTACCATTTCCTTAAATTTTGTGTAACTGGTAATATAAAATGACTCGGCCAATAATTTTAACTTAGTCTTCTCTTAACCTATGTAACGAGGTAAACACGTAACAACGGAGGACTTCGATTCTGCCTTTCTTTTTCCCTTACGCGTTTCTGTTGCACACCGAGCGATGATAAACTGTGAAAGCGGGTGAGCGAGAGAATGAGGGGCCAGAAGAATGTGTGAAATGGAAAACCCCTTTTAGAAATCGAGAATTAGTAGTAATGAAGTGAATACTTTCCTTAGTAGGTCAAATCTGGCCCGTAAAGTTCGATAACCAGGTTTTCAAACTTGAAGAAGATGAAGGCTACAAGGTGCCTCCTGCCCTTTCTAGACAGGAAGCCCTCTTCTACACACCTCTCCTGAAACCAGTGAGAACAGTCTCCCCGCCCAACTAAGAAGCCCTGTGGGGAGGCAGCCGAGTCTCTGACACCAATACTGTCTAAGCCTTCGTGTGAGTGGGAGGTGGTGAAATCTCTGTCCTCCGAGATTTTTTTTTTTAAGGTTTTATTTATTTATTTGAGAGAGAGAATGAGAAAGAGAGAGCACGAGAGGGGGGAGGGTCAGAGGGAGAAACAGACTCCCCGCTGAGCAGGGAGCCCGATGCGGGACTCGATCCCGGGACTCCGGGATCATGACCTGAGCCGAAGGCAGTCGCTTAACTGACTGAGCCACCCAGGCGCCCTGTCCTCCGAGATTTTAAAAGTACAAGAGAAATATCTGCTTCCAGTGGATTTGCCCTCAATCCTGCCAAGAGGCAAGCCCGATCGGCTGGCCCCCAGCCCCCCCGCACCACTCCCCGTAAGGATGCCAACAGAAAGATCCAGCTTACTATTTGAACTGCACCTGGTAGACCACCGGCCTTGTGTCATTGCTCAGCGACCCCGGCTCCCAACTCAGAACCTGCTCAGCATTGTACAGGTGAACCTTCGGGTTTCGAGGAGCTGGCAGCTGGGCGCGAGAGTCTTGAAAGGGGCAGGGAGTGAGAGTAGGGGGCGGAGGTGAGAGAGAAATGGGGGAGGGTTGAAAGAGAAAATCTGATTACAACAATATTCAAATGCACGTCATCAAACCATTCACATAACTCCGTTCTTGTCAAAGTACAGGAATGGTTATTACCAGGGTCTCCAGGCATGTCCCCTCACCCCCACCTTTCACTAAATATGGCACCAGCTACACCGTCCATGGAAGGAAAGAGAGGCTTGGGGCCTGCAGATTCCAGTTCTTCTGAACGGGGCCCGGGTGCCAGAGTCCGGCTCGACTGGAATTCGTGTTCTATCTCTAATAAGCAGGTGCGGCTGGGCAGGTTAACTTGACAGTCTGGGCCCCACTGTCTTCTTCAGGAATAAGGGCTAAATAACCATACAGTCCCTAAGTGAACATTGAATTGGTGGCCACGGGACAGGCATTCACCCCAGACATGCACTGGTACCAAGGGAGGGCCTGGTAAACTTCCACACACGTGCACACACTCACACGCCCACGCCCCACACCAGGTGTGCAAAGCCCAAAGGCATGTGGAGGGTGAGACACGTCCTTTGGGCTTCGTAAAGAGTTGCAGTGTTTCCCAAGGACCCCCAGTATCAGAATCACCAAGGTCCCGCTTAAAATGCAGATCCCCAGGCCCACCCCCAGACCAGGAAATCCACGAACAGCCAAATCACACCCGCCCCTGGGGATCCACCACCAAGGTCAGAGCCCCGTCCTGGGGTGACCTGGGAGGCACAACCCAAGCAGGCACTTCACAGGACAGGGCTGGGGACCACAAGCGCAGGAGCCTCTTCTCTTGCAAGAAAACACGATCACGATGGGCCTCTCTCTGAGACTGAAAGACGAATGAGAAAATGCCCAGGAGGTGGAAAGAAAGGTTCTGGAACCTGCTGTTCCAGAATTCAGAGCAGGAAATTCAAACCATGTTTTCGGTAAGCACATCCAATCTCCGGGAATGGTGGCCAGCTCTTCTTCTGAAAGGCGCGTTACCAAGAGTCTGTGGCCACTTGTTTACTTCCAGAAGGCCCACTGTCTCCACAGCTCTGAGCTCAGGAGGACCTTCGTTCCAGTTCCTTATTCAACCGGCTAACCAACACTTCTGCCAGTTCACACCAGGGCCAAAGGCAGGCAGGCTGGGGCCGTCTGGAGGGAGGCTGTTCTGCTGGGCAGGCCCATCTGGCTCACTGAGGCTGCTGTGCGGACTGGAGGCCTGCTGCTGGGAGCAAGGTGCAGCACCCCCCACCCCCCGGGGGAGGGCTTCCTTAGGGCCGGGCACTGGTCAGAGTCAGAGTCTCAGAAGCCTCCTTTTACTTTCCTATCAGTTTCCTATGGATGCTGAGATGAAGTAGCGCCGATTTAGCGTCTTAAAACAACCCAGCTTGATCGCTTACAGTTCTGGAGATCAGAAGTTTGAAACTGGTCTCACTGGGCTAACGTCAGGGTGTGGTCGGGGCTGGGTTCCTCCTGGAAGCTCTGGGGGAGAAATGGCTCCTTGCCTCAGGCAGCTTCTAGAAGCAGCCCACATTCTTCGGCTCTGACTCCTTCCCCCAGCAACAATGGGCTGATTCCTTCTCTCTCTCTGTCTTTTTTTTAAGTGACTACCCATTTATTTATTTTTCTTAAAAAAATTTTTTTTTGAAGATTTATTCATTTATTTTATATAGAGAGAGCACAAGCAGGAGGGGCACAGGGAGAGGAGAGAGAAACCCAAGCAGACTCTGCACTGAGCACGGAGCCTGACATGGGTTTGATCCCACGACCCCCGAGATCACGACCTGAGCCGAAATCAAGAGTCAGACACTTAACCGACTGAGCCAACCAGGTACCCCTTTTTAAATTTTTATTTAAATTCTAGTTAGTTAACATACAGTGCAATATTGGTTTCAGGAGTAGACTTCAGTGATTCATCACTTACGTATAACACTCGGTGCTCATCACAACAAGTGCCCTCCTTAATGCCCATCAGCCCATCCCCCACCCACCTCCCTCCATCAACCCTCAGTTTGTTCTCCATTGTTAAGAGTCTCTAATGGTGGGGGTGCCTGGGTGGCTCAGTTGGTTAAGCGACTGCCTTCGGCTCAGGTCATGATCCTGGAGTCCCGGGATCGAGTCCCGCATCGGGCTCCCTGCTCAGCGGGGGGTCTGCTTCTCCCTCTGCCCTCTTCCCTCTCGTGCTGTCTCTCATTCTCTCTCTCTCAAATAAATAAATAAAATCTTTAAAAAAAAAAAAAGTCTCTAATGGTTTGGTTTCTCTCTCTCTCTTTTTTTTCTTCCCCTTTGTTCATCTGTTTTGTTTCTTAAATTCCACACGAGTGAAATCATATGGTATTTGTCTTTCTCTGATTTATTTCACTTAGCATAACACACTCCAACTAGATCCACATTGTTGCAAATGGCAAGATTTCATTCTTTTAGATGGCTGAGTAATATTCCACTGTATGGCTATACCACATCTTCTTTATCCATTCATCAGTCGATGGCCCTTTGGGCTCTTTGTATAGTTTGGTTATTGTTGATAGTGCTGCTATAAACACTGGGGTGCATGTGCCCATAAGAATCTGTATTTTTGTATCCTTTGGGTAAATACCTAGTAGTGCAATTGCTGGATCATAGGGCAGTTCTAGTTTTAACTTTTTAAAAAAGATTTTATTTATTTGAGAGAGAGAGGGAGGGAGAGAGAGAGAGCAGAGGGAGAGACAAGAGGGACAGGGAGAGAGAGAATCCCAAGCAGACTCTGTGCAGAGCATGGAGCCCAATGTGGGGCTCAATTTCTTTTTTTTTTTAAAGATTTTATTTATTTATTCATGAGAGACAGAGAGAGAGAGAGAGGCAGAGGGAGAAGCAGGCTCCCAAGGAGCAGAGAGCCCGATGCGGGACTCGATCCCAGGACCCTGGGATCGTGACCTGAGCCGAAGGCAGACGCTTAACCATCTGAGCCACCCAGGCACCCGTGGGGCTCAATTTCACGACCCTGAGATCATGACCTGAGCCAAAATCAAGAGCTGGATGCTCAACTGACTGAGCCACTCAGGTGCCCTCTATTTTTAATTTTTGAGGAACCTCTACACTGTTTTCCAGAGTGGCTGCACCAGTTTGCATTCCCACCAACAGTGTAAGAGGGTTTCCCTTTCTCTGCATCCTCGCCAACACCTGTCGTTTCCCGTGTTGTTAATTTTAGCCATTCTGACAGGTGTGAGGTGGTATCTCATTGTGGTTTTGATTTGCATTTCCCTGATGATGAGTGATGTTGAGCATCTTTTCATGTGTCTGTTGGCCATCTGTACATCTTCTTTGGAAAATGTCTATTCATGTCTTCTGCCCATTTCTTAACTGGATTATTTGTTTTTTTGGGTGTTGAGTTTGGTAAGTTCTTTATAGATTTTGGATACTAACCCTTTATCAGCTATGTCATCTGCAAATATCTTCTCCCATTCCGGAGGCTGCCTGTTGGTTTTATCGACTGTTTCCTTTGCTATGCAGAAACTTTTTATCTTGATGGAGTCCCAATAGTTCATTTTTGCTTTTGTTTCCCTTGCCTTTGAAGACCTGTCTAGCAAGCAGTTGCTGAGGCCAAGTTCGAAGAGGTTGCTGCCTGTGTTCTCTAGGATTTTGATGGTTTCCTCTCTCACATCTTTCATCCATTTTGAGTTTATCTTTGTGTGTGGTGTAAGAAAGCGGTCCGGTTCCATTCTTCTCCATGGTGCTATCCAGTTTCCCCAGCACCATTTATTGAAGAGACAGGGCCGATTCCTTCTCATGATGTCACCACTCTGGTCTGACTCTCCTGCCTCCCTCTTCGAGGACCCTTATGATGACACTGGGCCCACGGAGCCCTACCATCCAGGGTCATCTCACCATCTCAGGATCCCTGGTCACACCTGCAAGGTCCCATTTGCCATGTGAGGTCACACAGCCACAGGCTCTGTGGCTTAGGATGTGGATCTCTTTGGGGACCATACTTTGCCTGCCACAGTGCCCTTCACCATCCCGTCTCTGGGGAGGAGCCGTCTCCTGGTACCCCCATCTCCCAGATCCAGACATTCAGCTAAGGAAGGAAGCACCAACGGGCCGACCAAGAAGAGTGGACTTCCACCCCAACTGACAGGTGGCCCAGAAGAAAGGCTTCCCCGTAAACGTGGAGTCTCCAGATGAGCCCTCTACTTTCTTCAGCTTCCGTTTTCCCCTGGTGTGGGGAGCTGATCCACAGTTTTACTCTGACATTTGACTTTCCTGGAATCCCCTGTCTTACCACATTCAGAGACAATAACAGTCTTATAACTGAGGGTTTCACAATGAACCACCAAAGACTGCCCACTCATTAGCAACTGCCTCATCACACTGCCCTCTGCATCTCTCAGAAGGCCTGTCCTTGAACTGCCTCACCCACCATGGCCCCCACGGAGCCCTCCTTGTTCCTGGGAAACTCAGAGCCTGCCCTTGCCGCTCCTTCTGTGGAACCTTCTTTCCAGCTATGCCACAGCTCTCTCCCCTCCTCCCTCAGGTCTCTGCTCTTACTAGAGTGGTTTCCTGTGTAAAATGCCCAGGGTGCGGGGTTCCCTGTCCCTGCCTGACTCGTCTGCATGGTGCTTGTTCACCACCTGGGTCCTTTGTTTACACCACGGTGCTTAGGGGCATGGATTCCAGAACTAGATTGCCTGAGTTCAAATATGCACGCTCCTTAGGGGCTTGGGCAAGTTGTTTAACTTCTTTGTGCCCCAGCTGTCTCATCTGTAAAATGGGTACAGTACAGACTTCATGGTGTTGTTATGAGGAGAGAATGAGTTAGTTTCATGCTCGGGGCTGAGGACAGGGCAAGCACCTTGTGATCCGTGCCTCTCCTCATTGCCAGCAGTTTATCCACAGTCTCCCTGAACACGAGAGTGGGGAGCTCCAGGAAGGCTGGGTCTTGTTGGATTTGGGGATCGTTTTACCCCTCCCCTCCCCCCTTGCATGGAATAGCAGGCACTCAGGATCTGGGGAATGACTGGCCTGAAGCCCAGCAGCGTGCTCACCTTCAGAGATTACATAACCAACTTCTTGTCCTCAGTGGTGCATTCATCCACTGGAAAACCAGGCAGAGCTTAGGTTCCCCTTTTCCTTCCTTGCTTTATGCTTAAGTTCCTCCCTTTTGTCTGGTCTCTGCTGCGTCAGGGAGTGGGTGGACAACGCTGGGCTGTGACTTATCTGTTTGGCTCCAAAGAGTCAGCATTC